AATTTCCGAAACTGACATTGACTTACCGAAAGGCCGCCCATTTCGGGACGGAGTTTGAGGGACTGCCAGAGCTCCTCGTCGTAGGCCAGACGCCGCCACTGTTTGCATACCCTGGCGATGGTACAGAGCTCGGTGTGCGTGAGGAAACTGAAAATGCGCAGAATCAGCTTCTCTGGTAGCCGCGTTATGCGAAAGGAACTGGTCTGGAGGGCAGAAAAACAATGAGATTTCAAAGTGTGTTTTGAAAGGCATATTGCAGCGGACGCGATACTTATGTCTGGTAGTCTGCTGATAAATAAATTTTTCCGCTTCGGTAAAGCTGTTAAAAAACAGCTTTAGGCTCCCATAAACTGCTTTATATCTTGAAGTCAGTGTCGTTTATTTTTCCTTTCTTCAAGCATTAATCGCCAACTTGGAGTAAATCAGTATATTCGAAGGTTTATGGGCGTGGATTAAATTTTAAGATTGGCCGACTTCTATCGGCCACAGCGAGATAAGTGCGTAATACTATTTAGATTGTCAACAGGCTGTCAGTGTCATTTATAAGGGTTGCAGGATCTAGTCTATTGACCGCACAGTTACGAGCTTGAAGCCAAGACGCGTGGTTTGCCGATATTCTGCCGATTAAGGACACAACAGCGAGGGATGGGCTCATCATTTGACTTCCAGCTATCCCTGTTTACTATCTGGTAGATGCTCCAGTTTGTAAATTTTGGTTTCTATTTTTATTTTCTTAGAAATTAATCGGTACCTTGGTGCTGCGTTCAAAATCCGACTTCGTTAGGTCAAAGTTAGCATCTACCAAGCTGGGCCAAAACGTGAGGGGGACAAGGACGTGAAATAAATCATTGGGATAGTGCAAGAAGCAGGCACTCGTACCTTAAAATTAACACCTATGCAAAGAGATCTCAACAGATGATGACAAATCCCCTACCATGACTTTACACAAAATGATTTAGAACAAAACATTTAGGAATAATATTTAACCAGTTTTATTTCGAAGTACCCTGACGTCCCAACACTCCTCGGTTTCGATGGAGGATGGAACACGGGCAGTGACATGGGAAACGGCGATGGTCATTTCTGGCTTATAAGTAAACATTAGGCAACCCAACCCGATCCCAGATCACGCAAGCCTAGAGTTGAGTATGCCTGACTGACGATGGATAATAGACCAGGAATTGTCATCTCGGTCTCTGCTGGCTTTATTGGTATTCCTTTCTTTATCATATCTGACCTCTCCGTGACTGTCTGCAAGAGCTTAAGACTGTGGTCCAAAACGCAACGTGACAAACGTAGAAATCTCCTCTCATGATATTTTCAGTTTTCGCTGTCACAGTTTGGTATCTAACATAAAACAGAAACCTTTTATTGTCGTCTAGACGCATTCTTCCTGATATCACACATGATCCAAATAATGCGGATTGTAGCACTGAAGACAAGGATTTCGCCCAAAAAGTCGTCGCCCCCATTTCCGCTAAAATTCCAAAGGTGTCAGTTCGGCGCCGCATTTCACACTGCTGCAGAACAAATTCAACAATATTCGCCATATTGGTGTTCAGAAACAAATTCAGCAAGTACATAGGAGAGGCTTTATATGAATCGAAAACAAATTCATTTGAACCACTTGTGTAAAACTTGGCAGCCTCAGTAAGCATCTGATGAATTCTAGATTGCTTGCTTGGGAAATCCGGCTTGGACCGTCAGCTTACTCAATCAGAATTAGTGGATTCCATACGTTGCAGTAGACAGGGCAGGTAACTTGACCCAAGTGTGATTAATCCCAGGGCTCCCGGTTGAGGCCTCCTAGCTCAGTTGGCAGGAGCGTTCGCTGTACTAAAGCCTTCCCCATGCTGGCATGCGTTCGAATAGTTCTGAGACTGTCGAGATTTTCACAGATGGGTCAGATGAAAAACTGAAAAATCTTCGTGACATTGGTATCCGGAAACTCTGGCATGTAGAGGGTTTTAATGGTATTCACTTAAATTGAAAATTACTTGAGGAGTCCTTTGGTTTGCTCTGAAGAAAATCTGAACAGTTAGCCTTTTGCGATCTAGACCGAGGAGCTAACGCAGGTAACTCGGTAAATAATCCTCAATGGAACACTGGTCCGTGGTTGGATGTTTGAAGTGTTCTGTTGCGACTTAGCTGGATACCTTTTAGTAAATTTAAATTAAAGGTCTCTGTCATCCTTTATTAGATAAAATAATAAATTGACTCTGCTTCACCTATCCGAAATTATCTCGAATTCATTGGCCTCAATACCTCTTATAGTAAGTATTAACGCATGTAAAAAGTCTTAGAATAACCCCCTTTTTATCAAAATTAACTATTCAGTCTACTTTTACTGAGAGCAGCTGTCTATGTGTTCCTTTAAACTTAGTCATCATCAACGACTTTTCCATCCCCCAGAGAGGCGTCTTTCCCTCTTCCACATGAAATTTCGTAGGCGAGAGCGGTTTTCAAGGCTTATCAATACTGTTTTCACAAACCTTTACAGATCAGTTATTGCGAGCTATAGACACTAAATAAGTGCAAAGATAACACCAAGAGAGGGGACCTTTCAGATTTCGGAAGTTGCGAAAAAAATTCTGAAAACTATTTAATTATAAAATAGACCTGTATGCAATAAAACAAAGCATGGACGGTACTCACATAGTCGCTTTTAAAGGTAGTTTTTCCATATTGTGAGGTCTTGCGAATATCTCTGACAAACTCCGCTATGGACTTACTCCCGCCAAGCATGAGTTGGAACCTGTTCGTTAGACTGAATTTTCCGCGGTGATAATTCCTGGGTCGGCGGAAGATGCTGCGCGTATGACTGACGGCGAACCAAACACGCCCAGTTCATAAGTTGACCAATCAGAGACAAACTTCCAGAAGGTTGGCCAACCGGTGAATTGGCTTTTGGGACTAGCTCCAAACGTAAACATACCTTAAAACCAATGCTACCTCAACGCTGCTATTCATAAATACGTTCGCTTTTTGCTAAATATGATCTGTAGGCCGTCGCCTCAGTTCGAGTTCTAAATGTCAGAGTCACTCGGTACCAAGTGCAACGAGTTTAAAAACTACGGCATATAGGAGGCTAGAACTTTTGCAATGGTGCAGGAAATAGATTACCAATAACTTCAAAGGCTAGTCTTCTAGGTGTTTGCCGTAAGTTTGGGACTATAGTGCACAATTAAAAGCCTTTAGTTTTCTCAAAAAACCACAACGAATTGTTTATTTTCGAACTTGTTTCTTATGTAGATCACTTAAAAGGTCAGTAACCAGAACTAATCGATATACAGTACGGCCTAAAATCCGTGTAAAATGCCGATATATGCGAAAGATTGATACTCTTTCGCTAATCGGCATTGAGTAAGGTTGTAATA